GCGTTGCAGTCTCAGTTTCCATGGGGATGTCGAAGTAAAATCAATCAGCGCTTTCTTTTCATTCATGACATGTATTGTTTCGTATGTCATTCGGCCTCGTGGTCTTATCGCGATATCTAAGTCACGTTATAGCTACTGTGACCTGGTTTGTGACCAAGAAAAGCAATGTGATCAAGAAAATGAAGGAAACCAACCCTAGAACGCTGATCTCAAAGCTCTTACTACTTCTTGAATCATTCAAACGATCAAAATATTACTCAAAGTTATAATACTTAGAAAACTGCAAAGACTGTACCGTTTCTATTGTTTATTATTATCTCTGGAGCTACGACGAAACTATGATATAACATAACCTTTCAGGTCAAATTTACATATTTCGAATATTTGCATATTTTGAATAATCTAGACGCTCTTARAGCGTAAWGTCGGGMTAGCTATTTTTGAAAACTGAGAAAGTCAAGGTACTTAAGTTAATTAATTAGAGTTCAGTTCGGTAAAAAATTGTGATGTAGTAAATAGCTTAGGGTTGTCCTGACTTATTTCAAACAAAGACTGTATCGTGAAAATGAAATACTTATAGCTCAATGGCGGCAGCTGACCCATTGTCGCATMTACAGGAAGCCCACGTAAGCGATCAATGATCGTCTAGTTGATTATTGATCGAGTCGTTGAGTCGCATTAGTGACTGCTCTGGTTTGTTTCTGTTTTATTTAGTTGTTTTCGATTGTTTTTGAAAAGTTGTAAGGTGGCTAGCTAGCTGGATGATGTTGCGTAACTTGTTACATGCTGCAATAGTCTCATTCACGGTTACCTTCGCCATGTTGAAAGGTAGCCGTGCCTTTACATCGAAGCGAGACAACCGTTGAGCGTGCAATGATAGAAACCTGTGCATAATTGTCTGTAGGTGTGAAAGAAGGTTTCTATCATTGCACGCTCAACGGTAGTCTCGCTTCAATGCAAAGGCACGGCTACCTTTCAAGATGGCGCAGGTAACCGTGAAGGAGACTATTGAACACAAATGTTTGCCTTCCAGATATAAATGAATGTATGACCAACAATGGCGGCTGTAGTCAGATGTGCCACAATAAACCTGGTGGACATGATTGCAAGTGTAAAAAGGGCTATACTCTCAAAGCATCTGATAAAAAAACTTGTGAAGGTAATTCAAACTCTAGTTACTACTCCTCCTCGATGTTTTTCTCCACTAGTGACGTCATGTTAGCGCGAAGTGCATCATGCACAACTGTAAATTCACCAGTAAAAATTTCTTATGGAGGCGGAAGTTTCTTGGCAACTGAATTGAATGTTATCCCTTCTTGAGGATGCTTTTCACAGTGATTATGTTGGCTAGATGCTAGAGTAGACTGAAAGACAAGGCTGAGACTAAATAAGTTACGCAAAATATTGAAAAAAGCAGCCAGTACGTAAAAGTCACAATAACACATTTTATAGATTTTATATTTATTCATTTTTCAATATTTTCCTTGGATTTGGTGTGATAATTGATTATGTACGACGTAAATACAGTCTAGTTCCATATCGTGTACAGGGATATTTACCATGCGTATATCTGTCACATATTCTAGATATCAACGAATGTGATAATAACGCCCATAGCTGTGGCCAATATCGGGTATGCAACAACGCCCCGGGAGGGTACAAGTGCAGTTGCAAAGATCGTCGCATGTTTTCAAATGGAGGAGCCAAATGCAAAAGTAAGTTTGTTAGCATAATATTGCGGATTTTGGGTGAATTTTGTTACTTTATTTAATAAAATATACAAAATAGTTGTAATTAAGAGCATACATGCATGTTCATCTTATCGTCAGTTTCAATAGTTTTTTATTCGCTTATTTTTTTAAAGGATCTCGAAGATTCAGATTTTACTTCATTCTCGTTCGTATAATTTGGATTAACGATTATTCTGACGAGCATTCCGAAAAATCAGCTGCTCTTGTGAAAGAGATCGTTAGAGTGGTAAGAATGATTTTTTTATCCATAATATGAAGAGAAAGTTGCCTTAATTGTTATCTCACTGTTGTTCAACAGAAAATAGTTTTTAACTATCGCATTTTGTGTTATTAGCTGGATGTCTTCTTCAGGTTCAAGTTCCAAGGCAGATTTTTAGGCTGCCGCGTTATGAAATTCAGGTATGTTGTAAGCGCGTTTTTTTTATTTATATATATGTTGGAGAAATATGACCCCGAAAAATGACCCAGAATTTATGATGGGCGTGGCAGCCGTGATCCATATATAAGATCTGCTGACATAAAAGGAAAAATTTATTTATTTTTCAAACCTTAAAAGAAGCAGAATAATGAACCTGGTCGAACATTCACCGTAAGTGGGATGAAACACTGACTCCAATGGTAAAACGAGGACGAGCACCTCTTGTTTCTTTCAGAAAGAGTCCCTTTATATAGTCCCCTCTCGAAGCCGTTCCTAGGTTACTCCCCCCTAACGGCAGCACATCTATGCAAACATTTCCATTCCAAATCGTCTACGATCAGAATGAGCAGCCGTAAGTGGAGGGTGGGGGATGGGGGAGTATGGTAACGATTCTCATAACGGTTGTGGGAGGAGACGAGAGTCCCTCACCCTTTTGCAATTAACGTCCTCTGATCAAAATAACCTTGGTTAAGACCTTGTTTTGACTCATTCTGGTTCTATTTTCAGTTGAACTTGTTTGATGTCCTGAAGTGAAATAACGTAATGCGACTGTTTTTCTTTTGATAGTCAAGGAAGTGTGAAAGTAAACGTGACACTGAACTTTGACAGTAACTCGACTGTGACAGCCAATGATATACAAAAATCTGTTGCAAATGTCAGCGACATTGGTGGCCTAAAAATTGATCCAACAAAGAGTGCAGTGTCAGGTACTAATGAAGAAAGACGTATAGTAAAATACCAAATAACGGCGATATGCTTGCATTATAATCCATGGACATTCTACAAAAACTTAGCTCTTGATGTTCATTTAAAAGTCGTTTTCATTTGACGGTGCAATGAGAATGACTATTTAGGCTATTTAGTTAGTATTTGCTGGTAAAGAACAAAAAAAAAAAAAAACGGTAGATTGAGGGGCGAATCCAGCAATTTTCAAAAGCGGGTCCGTCTACAAAAATGGCAGCAAATCTTCGTGGGAATTTGCCTTGCTTCAAGTTCAAATGACTCTATTGGAAATGTCCTTGTTATAATGCTCAATACTTCAAGATATAACTAACATCTTTTGTTATTCCAGACCTGGATGAATGCAGCGATCCGTCATTAAGCAATTGTCACAAAGACGCGACATGTAAGAATGAGCCCGGCTCGTTTAGTTGCAGTTGTAACAATGGCTACAAGGGAGATGGATTTACTTGTGAAGGTAAGACTTCCAATGGACATGCACGGTACCCAGCATAATAAGGACATTTTGGAGTGATTCAGTTCTAATGCAAAAAGGAGTTTAACTATGTATCATGTACGAAATGACCTACCGAGGCAAAACTAGGAATTAAGGAAATGAGTCGGGATGACCTTCCGGACACCAGTCGGATGCTCAAACTACTTAGCTGCAGGATGACCCATGTGTTGTTTTATATAGCGTAGGTCCTATTATTAGAGCCTGAGAAATACAGGAATAGAGGCATGCATTCCTGAAGTTCCATTCAAGCATTGTACTTTTTTTTATTTTATTTTATGTGGTGAATATGACATAAGTGCTATATAATAGTCCTAGAACTACCCAAGGAGTGCAGAGGAAGAAATATTTTAGCTGTTTCTCTCTCTGCTCTTAATATTATGTGTTATAAAAATCGTCGATGAGTTAAAAGAAAAGACTTGTTCTAGTTCATAGACTTTTTGTTTGTCTTTTCAGCAATACCAAAGACTAAGGATAAAGATGGTGAGAATCTTCCTATGTGAAACATTAAACTTATTAACCAATTTACAATATAAATTAACTGTGTACTTGTTTTTATATGCATTTTATATGCACGTCATATTTGAAACGGAGGATAAATTTGAATTTTGACAGTAGCAAAAACGCTGCAATATCTTTACGGAAGGCTGCCATATTCCACTTTCTGCTTATAAGGCCATTTATATATCGCGCACATACATGAATTTCTCAATTTTGTTTCAAAGGAAAATCCATCATTTCCCTGACTTTGTACCTTTTTTATGATTTAGACGACAAGAAGATCATGATAATCCTACTGTCTACACTCATTCCTCTGGCTGTCATCATCATCATTATTCTCATCGTTTGCTGTTGTAGAAGGTTTGTACTGACTTAGACATAGATCTAAAAGTTCTAAACGGCTATCGTGTCTCGCCTTTTTCCAATCGCCAGCTCGTTGCGATTTGAATTTCACTGTTTGCAGGCTAAAAGAAACTCTTTTAACTTTGTTTTCAATTAAGTCAAAAATACTAAAATATGATCCTCGCATTCTTTTTAAAGTTCGTTTACAAGCATTACTCGGAATTTTGAATGACATTGAAACGGTGGATTACAGAGAAATTCCCTTCTCCCCCTCCCATATGGATTTCTCTCTTGTCTCATACTGTTTTATACCATTCCAGGCGAGGAAAGGGCAATCTTAAAATGGAAGAGAGCTCCTCTGGTTACCAAATGAGCAACAGGAGTAATATGTATGAGTCCTCGAGAGTTCAAAAGGAAGTCCGCCATGGCAGTGAACGCAGAGGCAGCGACGATTCCATAAATGCTGCCTATTATGACAATGTCGGCAGTAAAAAACAGAGCTCGTCGGGAATGTACGACGTCTCGCAGGCACAATACTACGACAATCCTGCGGTATCAACTTAGGTGAGGTCACTCAACAATTTAGCTACAAACTCAGATAAAACCTGTTGAGATCAAGTCAAATATCACACGTCATCATCATCATCATCATCGTCGTCGTCGTCGTCGTCGTCGTCGTCGTCGTCGTCGTCGTCGTCGTCGTCGTCGTCGTCATAATAATAACATACAAATCAATGTCGGGTATGTCGGATGACTGTCCATGATTGTACAGTGTGTTCAACATTATTTTGAGGGGGAATGGGAAGAAATAAGATAGACCAGCGATACTCAACCATCCGATCATCATCGGTCATAATAATAACGTCGTCTTTCATTGGATAAAATTGACGCTTTCATTGTGCTACACTTGCCACTTCTCATGTCAACTTCCTCACGAAATAATCACTTTGTTTTGCAGACTAATGCCGTCAAATCTTGATTTGTGCCGCCGACAATTCCAAGAATAACTGAAAATCAGCACTGCATTAAACTAATGTTAAACATCAGAATAAACTAGACGAAGCATGCATGAAAGCTTACTACTTACCCTGGTTATGTCCTTACCATGAAGGGGGAACCTTTGGTAGAGTCAATGTATTTGCTTCCAACTTTACATTCCTTTCCCCCTTCTCATGCATTCTTTGTGTATAGTTTATATAATAAATTTGAACAATGTAGTACACCAGTGACATGGGTCACATGGATGTGGATTGTTATAATCCTTATCCTTATGGTGTCATTTGCATTTACACTTTTCCACGTACAGTTCGAATTGTTAGTTTTTCTAAATTCATGCATTATGACAATCGTATACTTACCTTCTTGCAGTAAAATACCACCATTATCATCATCAATGCACTATGACGTCATGTTTACAGTTGCTGGCAGATTCGATGAAGACAATGAAAAAATGTCCTTTCTCTTAGAAAACAATTGTCTGATTTTTGTCATATTTTTTTGTCAAACACAACCCGTCTATACCTGTAACTGTTCCAATTCTGCTAATTGGTTGTTCCGTCCTTCACAATGCCTTAAATTGCAGTTTTATCTTTTTGCTATACAATCTGCCATGAATCTGTCATTGTTGCCATGGATTGCTGCCATGCCATTAAGATAGCTCTATAGTTCACTGAGTGACGTCACAGTGAAGTGGTGAAATTTTAACAGCCCACAGGCGAGGCTCGGAGAAACAATGGATAATCTTAATGTTTCTTTTATTTCTTCGGAGCCTCGTCTACCGTCCTTTTATGTATGGGTCACTCAACCCAAATTTCTGAAGTCAACTATTGTTATACACGCGACATAAAACGTACAATTGTAAAAAAGTTACACTAAGATAATTGCTCACTATTAAAGCGAATCTCACAAAAGTACAGATTTGAGTACAGATTTTGAACGAATTAACATGGATCTGCACTACCGGGAAAGTAGAAATAGGTATTCTGGTTTTGCCAATTGATGGTAAATATAACTGACTAATAATTCGAGGTAAAATCTGTGGGGTAAACGTTTGGTCCGCATTTAGTCTCCATTTCCACGAAGGGTGAGCGCAACAAGTGAAATTCTGTATGCTGAAAAAGCGTAACCATCGTTCCTTTCGGTCATGCAATTTCCGTTCGACAATCGCCGTTCTCACCGACGTTTCCTGAAATAGGTGTATTGTTCCCCACATAGAATTGCCTTAATATTGAAGCTAAAGAAAGCTTTCATGAAAGCGAAAACGGACATTAAATAAAATATTAGAAAATTCGCTAACTTGTGAAATTACAGCAGATTTTCATGTTTTAACCAATGGGATGGATGGATTATACAATGCGCAATTAGCACCTTCTTGCATTCCTGTGCCGTTTGCTTCCCTAGTTCTTACTCGGCATTACTTAAAACGTTTTCAGATACATGTAATCGATCGTCCTCGAGAACTGATTTCTCATGCCACTAAGCACTGTCAAAAATTATCAAAAAGAAGTAGGGAAAAAAGACAGACACGAGTAAGATTGTGCAGTTCTATACCATATGAAAAAGGGCGTGGCTACCGTGATGTCTGAGTTTATAAGTTGTATAATATATCATTACTACCAATTGAAAGAACATGTTATAATGGGTGAGATCTGAAAGTTTTGATGCTCTTACATTTAAGGACCAGAAATTACAGGTGTTTGAAATTGCAAAGGTTTGAGTGAAAATCAGAATTGAGGCCTTACCAGCCTCGTTTTCATGTTTTGGTACGTTTTAAGTTCTCGTAGCTCTGCCGATATTNTGTTTTATCAGATATAAAGGTCCATGCATGTGACCAAATAGGCTCATTCTATTGGCCCAGTAGCTCATTAATTATGTATGAGTTTTTTAAAGTTCACTGAGTGACGTCACAGTGAAGTGGTGAAATTTTAACAGCCCACAGACGAGGCTCCGAGAAACAATGGATAATCTTGATGTTTCTTTTATTTCTTCGGAGCCTCGTCTACCGTCCTTTTATGTATGGTCACTCAACCCAAATTTCTGAAGTCAACTATTGTTATACACGCGACATAAAACGTACAATTGTAAAAAAAGTTACACTAAAATAATTGCTCACCATTAAAGCGAAACTCACAAAACCACAACAGATTTTGAACGAATTAACATCCCCTTGGATCATCCTATTGAGTCCTGGATCTGCACTACCGGGAAAGTAGAAATGGGTTTTCTGGTTTTGACAATTGATGGTAAATATAAATAACTGACTAATAATTCGAGGTAAAATCTGTGGGGTAAACGTTTGGTCCGCATTTAGTCTCCATTTCCACGAAGGGTGAACGCAACAAGTGAAATTCTGTATGTTGAAAAAGCGTAACCATCGTTCCTTTCGGTCATGCAATTTCCGTTCGACAATCGCCGTTCTCACCGACGTTTCCTGAAATAGGTGTATTGTTCCTCCGAATTCTGCAGCACTGTCTGTAAAGAAGACTCTCAATTCCCTTCTTTTTGACTCGTTTAACGTTTTCAGATACATGTAATCGATCATCCTCGAGAACTGATTTCTCATGCCACTAAGCACTGTCAAAAATTATCAAAAAGAAGTAGGGAAAAAAGACAGACACGAGTAAGATTGTGCAGTTATATACCATATGAAAAAGGGCGTGGCTATCGTGATGTCTGAGTTTATAAGTTGTATAATATATCATTACTACCAATTGAAAGAACATGTTATAATGGGTGAGRTCTGAAAGTTTTGATGCTCTTACATTTAAGGACCAGAAATTACAGGTGTTTGAAATTGCAAAGGTTTGAGTGAAAATCAGAATTGAGGCCTTACCAGCCTCGTTTTCATGTTTTGGTACGTTTTAAGTTCTCGTAGCTCTGCCGATATTTTACCACGAACTAAAAATATGTCAATTCACTAGTTTAAATATACCCTTTCTTATCGTAAAAACAGAGTTTCAAAAACATGGACCGTTCAAGGTGCTCATTCCCAGTCTTCTGCTCGTTTTTCATATGGTCAATAATAGGTATGAATATGAGACCGCGTACCACTAAGAGATACATGACATGGAAATAAAGGAAAGTTATRGTGCTTAGTAGGATATTATTCCGGGAGAAAAACCATTGGAAATAAATTTTGACCTCGCTGGGATTCGAACCCACGACCTTCGACAGCTTCGGACCCACAACATTTGGATTTGTACTACCGATGCTCTTCCAGCTGAGCTACAAGGCCTGACTGGGAGCAGGTCGGGGTAAAATAGATGTTACATTGCGGTAAATAGAATGGAAAGATATGCATATGACGACCGCTTGACAACCTAACGTCTATTTCACCCCGATCTGCTCCCAGTCTGACCTTGTAGTTCAGCTGGTAGAGCAGTACAAATCCTAAGGTTGTGGGTTCGAATCCCAGAGAGGTTGGAAATTTTAATTTAAAAATTTCAAGGATCTTTATCCCTGATTAACTTCCATCTATAAACTACCAAAATCAAAGAAAAGCTGCTTTTACTTGTTTTTTAAAACTTTGATGAGCAATCAATAAATCTATCATGATTCAATGGCTTTCATTTGGTAAAGAACTGCCTAACAATGTCATTGAATTCTTTGGGATATCGAAGATGTATATTGTGTCTTCCTYCAGGCCACATATGCAGCACAGAGCCTGGTATATGCTTGACCAAGTATTSAGGATGGAAYGGTGCCAACATAGGGTCTTTTTCACCATGAATTATCAGTGTAGGGCATTTGATTTTGGGAAGCWRATCTTGTATTAAATGACCACCTTTTTCTTTGTAGATCATTTCAATAGTATCTAGCCAACCTTTCCAAATGGACCTTAGACCATCAGCTCCATAGAGGGCTATCAAGATAAAATACATTAGTATTTTAATTGTCAAAAATGCTCATTAATTTAGTTATGTATACTGCACGATAAAATACATCATAGTGTAAAAATCTGTTAGTCTATTCGTGTATTCCAGTACAAATAACTCCAGACTACAATCCTGTATTCGGGTCCTTTTGACTCAAGTTCCAGGGATTTCTCTTGCACAACCCCTTTGTGGTCCACCAGCTCTTCTTAGGCTTACACTCGCCTCATATACCTTCTTCGACAGACACGGTCATACCAGTTACCATACCCTTAAATACACACTCCAAAACCCCTAGAGACCCTTTGCCCCAATGCACATTTCACACTCTGTTACAATAGTATTATCGTCCACCCGTTTTACAAAGTTATTAAAAAAAACAAAGCAGTTTATGAAATCCAGTTATCACAACTAAAACGAACATCCTAAAATAAGTAAGTATGCTAAGTTTGAATTCTGTAATCCAMAGAAAATTTGAGAAGATGTAGCCCTAAAAGTTACCTTCCAATGGCTCTCTCATCCTAGGATTCCACTGATCTATATCCCTGGTTTTTTCAAACAAGTCAAGGTCATCTTGGGTAATTGATGGATTGGCCCCCCAGACAACCAATTTATCAACTGCTCTGGGATTATTAGCAGCTAAAATTATTCCTGAAAYTCCACCATCACTCCATCCCAACAACGAATATTGACGGTGTCCTACAAATATAAGCTTATTGATTGCAAATAATTCATAAAAAAATTGAACTTCACAATGTAATAAATCTCACAGGCTTTGTGCTTGATAACACTAAAATTATTGCATCGGACAGCAACAGGATAGTACGGTGGCCCATAGGGGACATCCCACTTTTAGTAGCTCTGTTTTGAAAATCAGCTAAAAATGAGCATAGAGATTGGCGATCGCYAATTTTCATCGTGCTTTTGRTCGCTGATTCTATCGCCAATCTTTTAAAAAGTACGATGAAAATTAGCGATCGCCAATCTCTATGGCTCATTTTTAGCTGATTTTCAAAACAGAGCTACTATAAAAGTGGGATGTCCCCTATGGGCCACCATAGGAAAGTACTCCCAAACTTAGTGAATTTCTTAATTACGGTAAAATCTTCGATCCAAATCTTCTGATATTCCTCTTAAGTAAGTTAAGCTAATTGTTAATGCACCTATCAATGTTAAGCCCCCAGGGGGGGAGGCAGGGCTAGGGGTGGGGATTAGACTAGCTATTACTGCCCCAGGATCGGGCATTTGCCAATAATTCAGTGCCCCAGGGTGGGGATATTTGCCAACCATCGTTGGGTTACCTGAGTAATAGAGAGCTGAGGAGTACTGAAGACTAGTGCCCCTATAAAAGCCCCCGCAGATATCTCATAGCACATGGCAAGATGGCGGATGTCAAGGAGGTAACGTATTAGTTTTGTTTTTCAAAGATTATCTTTTGTCTAAAACAACAAAAGGGTTTTATTATAACATTTGTATTGATCAAATACTGAATAAAAAGGCTCCGAGAAAGAGACTGATCAATGAAAACCTCAGATTTTCAAATAGAATTTAACTAATAAATTGGTCCCCAGGGTGGGGATTTTTAGCTGCATTTGACCACATTCAGCAGCCCGAGGGTGGGGCATTTGACAGAAAAAAATGAAAAAATGTCTAATCCCCACCCCTAGCCCGGCCTCCCCCCCTGGAGGCTTAACATTGATAGGTGCATAAGTTATTTAATATTCGTAGATTCCATTACCTAACTTTCTCATGAGCTCGGCACCATCCCAAGCATCACGTTCATAGAAATCCTSCGGAAAGTCCCTTTCTGGAGGTCTTGATTTTCCATAACCTCTTGGATCCATTGCTATCATAGTAAATTGATCGCTCAGATCACGAAGCTGTGGTCCAAAGTCACTTTGAGTTGAACCCAATGCTCCAGGAATGCACAACACGACTTGGGGACCTTCGCCTGCCTTCTCATAATGCAAATCAACTCCATTGACGGTGATTTTGTCCGACACWAGTCTGCTTAAGCTTCTCTTTGATGTTATCCTAGTGATCGATGAGACGAGTGCACGACGAACTGCCACACAAGCAGCCATTTTGTTTTTAGGTCCAACACAGGAAGCCCGTTTGATTAGAGGCACGGGATATAGACTGAGTTGTAGTTGCGTACATCATCTACTAGTATTCTGACATATCTATATGATAAGTCCTATTGCACATTTATCTATTCAAAATTCTAATCTGATCATCATCAGCAGTCTTCATTTATAATTTTTTTTCATATTTTTTCTTCTGCGGTTAACATTTATAATTATAAGTAAGGCTAAAATTGTCAACAGTTTACTTAAATTACATGAAAACCTCCTAGATTAGCTATGCTATTCGTGAGAGTTTGTGTGTAATATTTTGTATTTACGCTTGTACATTTGTTAATTAAATTGAATTGAATTGAACTGACATTGCATGCCCAATTTTTTTGTTCTCCTTTTTGGGCAGTGTCAACCTCGTTCCCAGGGCCTTATCCCTTCGCTTGGCCTGACCCCAAGCGAAGGGATAAGGCCCTGGGAACGAGGTTGGGGCAGTGTAACCCTCCTCCACCTTCCCATGAGGTGACAAAAGCCAATCTCATTCAGGTCTACTCGAGGCATTAAAAGAAAGGAAGTATTTATCTGCACTTACAAAAGATTCCGAAAATTTAGATTGAGTGGTGGTGGTATTTATAGATCGATGTTTTGTTCGGCATATGACGTCGTATAGACTTGCGTAAGCGAATGACCTAAGTGATCGAGCTAAGCATAGTAAATGATTATCACGCGAACGTCACACAGATATATTATTTCATTTCTCGGCAATTTGTAAGTATATTTTCTGAAAGATAAAAATAATGCGGATTCCCGACATCACGCTACCGATAACAGTATCCGCTCAAACTGTGCGAGTGACGTAATGAGTGCTAAACGGAATTTTTTTTTCGTATGGCTAGCAGAATAGTTTGAAGTTCCTGTTTGTCAATTGTCAGTAATGAGTAAAATATCACGAGACGGCGCAGTCTGTTCTTCTAATATGACAAATGATAAAAAAGACGAAGAGACTGAAAACATTTTTTTCCAGTGCAGCGGATTCATTTCTCGACATCACGCTACCGACAACAGCCTCGCGAACCCAGGGGTGACCTGACAACAGTCCGTTCAAACTGTGCGAGTGACGTAACAGTAACGTAACTCGCTAGGCAAAGGTTCTTCCTTGGTTAGCAGCAATAGTTAGAAGTTTCCTGCTTGTCAAAATTTGTCGGTAATGAGCAAATAAAGAAATTTTACGATAAAACAAGTAATCAAATTTAAATAAAAAAAATAAAAAAAAAAATAACCGAATGTCGACAAATGATGAAAAAGATAAGGACTGAAAAAAACTGAGGCGCGAATGGAATGATTGATAGCATCATCTCTAAAAGAAATGAACCATCTGATTGTCATAAAGTCTCTTGAGGGCAGGACGTCGAGCACATCAGTTTTTYTGTAAGGGGTAAAAAGCCGAAGTCTAGCAGATCACATGGCCTGTCAGGTGATGGGAAATCAAGAAGATAAACACTCAAACACCTTGAATTCATTAACCAATTATTAATCAGTAGACAGGCAAAATGCTTGGTCAAATCAATACGTCGAACCATTATTTTCATATAACATATAACATACAATAAATAAACATATGTCATGAACTCCCAAAGCGATCAAATAACCTTTACATATTATGAAAAACATATAAAACATCAATTACAATGTCCTAATATATGATTTAATGTAAAAAAGGCACTACACCTTCTATTCKCTGCTCTATATATTCTCTATATTTAATTTTAAGTATGCTTTAAAACATAACTTTAAATGTTAGGTATCATTCACAACAAATGTTTTAATACTATACTGACAATACTGATTACGAGCACCGTTAAACAAAGTGTTGCGTGTATTTTTGTGGCAWGTCTTCTTATGTGAATCCTGCAAAATGTTTGGGATARAAAACAGTCTTTGAACGTGATTTCGCTAGCTGTGTAAACTCGTCAAAATCTTCATTCTCTGAGGATGACATAAGTTGAGTTCCTACAGGGTCGGTGTTACTCCTGTTGCGACAGTTTTGCAAGTATTCCACTCTCTTCTCTATTGCTACAAAATTCTTGCCAGGAGACGATGACATCGTGCCGTCGTCAAATTTTGATCCATTTTTCCCCATTCCAAACCCATTTGGAATGTTTAAATTATGATCATCAGAYTCTTGAGTGTCGTCGAGTAAGTCTGTTCCAATGGTATCCAAGTCRCTTCGTGCGTATGACCGAAGGGTTGCCTCACGAATCGCACAAGCTTGGAAACTCTCGTAGTTCATTTTAAAAGCAATTGAAAGWGTTTTAAACACTTCCTGAGCCTTGGCTTTGGTTTCACACAGGAAAATGTAAGCTTTAAAAGGCTTTTCTTTCCGCTCGCGCGCAACAAACACAAATGCCTTTCCATAAGTTGCGTCGACGTTGCAGTAGGTCACTTTAGAGATGGGAAAACTTGCAATTAACTTTYCTGATAATTGCTCTTTTACCGTCAAACTCTTGTGCGTGACAGTCATAGTCATTTTTTTCTTTTTRTCGTCTGTTTTTGTTTTACTTTGTGCCATCACTTGGGCTACTGGCATGTCYGTGTTTCCACTGCCCGTACCGCAACCGGTGGCAACTTCTACTGAGCCCATGTACTGAACACAGAACTCTACTCCCGCTAAAACTCTGTCTTCATCATCTACTCCATCTTGGTTGAGTTGCTGATGGCCTTGACGAGGAAATTTTGGACTTCTTGAGAACATAATATCCGACTTTACGGCTTACATATAGTCGCATAAACATGTACACTTTCTGTCTTGTAGGCTTTTGTGGTACGAGYGTCATCCGAGGCTGGAATTTTAAGCATTGACATTTTGACCCCTGATGAGCATAAAACAATTGAAATGTCTATTGATGAACCTTCTCTATTAACCCTACTTGCTATCAATAGCCATCCAYGTAGTAGATTCGTCGATTTTCTCTCACGACACTCACTTGAAGGCGTGACATGGACGGTGATTGGACAAAAGACAATAATACTGGCCGTGACAAAACTGATCATAAGATGGTCAGCTACCACGCAGGGCACTGAGAAGAGAGTATTTGGCGGGACTTTAATATCATGAAAGAATGTACTTTCATATCGTAAAAGAATGTACTTTCATAACATGAAAGAATGTACTTTCTATGCTAAAACAAAGATAAATTTATAACCGTGTGGCGGAAAGTAATCAGGGTTAAAATTAGCAAAAAAATAAAACTTGAAAACAAACGACAACAACACCATCGCCTGCAGCAACCAAATCAACACTCAAGCATTTTACTGGGGGAGGCTGGAATGGAATGAATTATCTAAAAGGAATAGAGTGTTGAGGGGAGGTTGTCGACTAAACACGTGATTTCTGAAAAGTAAAAAAAACGAAGTCTAAAGACGGCGTAAATGATCTGTCAGGTCGTGGGAAATTAACTTTCATGTCCGGACAGGATACACCACGTGACCAATATATTATCAAAGAACAAATCGAAATTGAAAAATAAACAAAAGTTCCGCGAAGTTGTCAAGTCAACTGACTTCAAAAAGTACAGCTATACCATTCAAAAACTCTATTACTTACACCACAAATCTGTGTAGCTTGTGGGAATGCTTTTCCAAACAAACCATACAGCTGTAAGTTCCTTGAATATTCACTCAAACGACACCAATTTAAAACTCTGGGATTTTGTGGGTGCGTTCTTTAAGTCTATAGTGGCGATTCAGATTACAACTTTTCGAAAAATTGTACCCTGCTCGGAAATCAATATCCAATCGATCATTTGAATCAGTAGACTCATTAAATCAGAACAAACAAAACGAACCATTTGTAGCCCTACTTCGAGGCTACTCTTGTACTCTCTATACTACTTAGTAAAGAAAGGTCAGGCCGAGGCTTTGGTATATACCCAGTCTGAGTAGAAAGAAAGGCTGGGAACTCCAGTATTTAGCAATGATCTAACCATTTGCACTGTTGTGGAGAAACAAGATGCAAGCAATTAATCTCGGTCAGGCTTGGGATAAAGTCCCTGATTACCTCACAATATAGTCCACCCTCTACCAATTGAGGACATTGGTTATGGCGTACTATGTACTTATTGACTGAGTGGGAGGGCCGTACGGGAAAATATTTGGCTCGAGGTTATGCCGTACGGACCGAGCGCAGCGAGGTCCGTACAAATGACCGAGAGCCAAATATTTTCCCGTACGGCCCGACCTAACTCAGTCAATAAGCATTTTATCATATGACAGCGTTTTTTAATGTAAAAAAAATAAATAAAAGCGCGCGGAACTTCAAGCCGGGAAAATACGGGTTTGTACGGACCTGTCGCGAAAAGGCGTACGGACCCCATCACGTGATCATTTTCCAAAGGTTTCAGTGAGAGCGCGCGTAGGGCCGAAATACGGGTTATATGATAATGGCAATTTATACACGGGATTGCGCAGAGGTTTCATGGGGCCAGGCACAGGCCACCCAGGATCAATTTTTTAGATTATGAAGTCAGTCGCGGTGTCGAAGTATGACAGGCTAGAGGTATATTTTTTTGGCTGTTGATCCGGAACAAAAGGCTAAACGTGTTTCCCGATCCCAAAACCTCTCCGTACATTTGTGATCCCTGATCCCCTTACAGAATTGATCATTGATCCCGATCCGCAGTTGAAAAACCTTTGATCCCGGGTTAAATACATTTGATCTGGATTCTGAGTCTAAATCCTGATCCATGATCCCAAAATAGCCCAAAAAGTGATATTGATCCCTGATGTCAAGACCTCGTTACTAGCCTGAGTATGCATGAGCTTTGGTTTGTAGGGATTTGTAATAGGATCGAACCCACGGTTCGTACTTCGACACCGCGAGTTCATTCTGGGAAGCCTGTGGAGGAGATGGGAAGGGAAAAGATGTTGCACATTTTAGCGGTCTCATATGCCAATTTTAGACTAATTTGGGGTAAAACCAATTTTGCTAAAAAATTAAAAAATCCAATTTCTCAGCGTAGATCAAATTTGACCACGATGTAGCCCCACAAAAAGGTTTCCAGAAACTAAATTTCAACGAATTTGAAATTTTCACTGTGGCCGCCTATTTTCCATTTTGATTGATATAGACCCTTGCAGTTCGTGGGAATGCAATTCTAATTGGAGGACAAATGAATAGATTCTAGTTCCCAATTTTGTTTTGTCCTCCAGATGCCAAGCTCCTTTGACGTCACATGCAAGGGATCTATTACTGTACAGTCGCTCTTAAGCTGCAGAAGATCAATTCCTAAATAGAGATTTTTCGGATCCCCCGCTATCTCAATGGTCAAAAATCACTTGATAAAATGTTATTACAAGACCCTCCCACATTTTAAGAGGTGTAAATTTCAAGCCACCCACCCTCCCACATTTTATCACACACCCCTCCCACCCATAAATATATATTGAATGTTCCTTATAGGACCTTTAGGATTACAAAATAATGTAATTAGATTTCTTTTTACCTTTTTGTACTGCTCAGCAGTTTGAATCAGAAACCTCAGCAAATTCTAAGTTGCATACGACAATAAACACAATGACGTAAGTGGACGCTGATTGGCTACTCCAACAATAAAGCTGCCATACCTCCAATTTAATCCTGCGGAAATTTTGCTTCCTCGAAGTCCTGCAAACTTCTGCAATTTARTATTAATACAGGTGAGAATGGTTTGAAACTGCTTAAAATTATTTTTATCTTAGTGAATTTAACTTTAATCGAGGCCTTCCAGAACAAGGAATGCTTAGGACTTTATAAAAATATGGAACTATGGCTGCCATTCGCTGGTGATTTCAAAACAACCGCAAGTTCGCTGCAATATATAGTTCTAGTTATCACTGATAGATCGGCGAATAGACGTAACTTCCATACAAGTCTTGCATTAAGGAATAACGTCGAGGCGTATATTCTGTGGAGTCTGGAGAGCATCTAGCTCCAGGTTTGTTTCAACGGGTTGAGTCGAAGGTTTCGAACCTCAATCGCTTTAGAGACGAGATAGTGTTTCTATGTACTTATAAGCTTTATATCATCTATAAAATACCTTGAATTGAGCAAACGTGAAGTATTCGTTTTTTTCTGAACGAACTGGAACATTTTTGAAAGCTTTTTAGGTAGATAATGGTCGATGTTTTAGATCAATCGAAACTTTACATTACATTTTCGCTGTCAACTTGGTACATATATTTATTTCACAAACTATATTAAGACATACAATTGTAAGTTCGTTACATGTAATACAGAAACTCCTTGGTGCCGTTAATGTCCTATAATTTTCATTTTAAGTATTCTACAAAGTATGTCAGAAATAGAGGTGGGTAATGTAGCAGAAGGCTATTGGGCCTATTGCTTTATGTTTCCAGGGGGGGTCATACTGTGGGAGTGAAGTGTTACCAAATCAATATTGGAACATTYATGAATCTTTTTAAAAGAGCCATTTGTAAAAAGGTGTAATATTGCTATCCACAGGATAAATTAGCTTCGGCCAGGCGTAAAAGTCATAAATACTATGCCGGGGATAGCTAGGATATTAATTTTGATGGATTCCAATAGATAT